ATGTTCTCATTGGTACTCTGGTGTGGTACTTAAATTTTCTTTGGTACTCTGGCAAGATGTGTTAAGACTTGCCGATGAAATTTGCTTCTCCAGCCAGCAAGCCTTGATCAGGTAAAGCAGGGCCGCCAGCAGCAGTAACATTCAGACTCATCCTGGCAACACGGAAGCCAAGAGAAGATAAATCTGTTGGGCCCAAGCTGAAGCGAATCAGAATCGCTTGGGGCGGGGATTCCTGAGAGGAGCACGCAGCCGTGAATACCAGAGTGCTCAGCTCTTGGAAAGACAGCAGAAGCTAAATGGGAACAGCCAGTTACTGTAGTAAACATTCAAGGAGCTCTGTGACATAGGAACCCTCAGCAACCTTAGCCAGAAAACGGGCCTACCCTAGAGGGTCCAGTTAAGATTTGCCCACCTTGTTTGTCCTTGGATTAATCTGTGCCCTCATCAAATGTTAATTTCCATAGTGGAATATGGGGCAAAAGACTGTTTGTGAGAGCTCAGCCATTATCACCAGTTCCTTGCATTCCACCCATAAATAAGGCCGTTATATGCCGCTCCAGTGTCAGCTCTAGGTGTGCGCTCACTGGAGCCTCTGGGTTGTGTTGGGCAAGCAGAGTGCGCTGCCGTGACAGCCTGAGGAGTGACACAGCACAGATGTACCACAGCATGTGAGTTACACTAGTGCTGGCTGTAATGGAAACGTCCCCACTACATTATCGGCTAAAAACCAGAATTGAACACCGCTTGGTTATGATGATGAGCCTTGATTCTACAACACAAATTTCAGTGACTTCTGTTTTTGTATTAACCGCCTATTACTCATGTAACTTAACTTAGCCTTTTTGACCCCCAGCATAAGAATGAGTTTAACCCTTTAGCGTAAACAGTTAGATAACTTATTTAAGTTTGATCAAACCTTACATAGAATCCCCCCCCCCTTCCTCCCCGTTGTAGAGATTTTGGGGTAGGTTTTTTTTCCAAAGCACAGATGGCACTGACCTACTAAATTCCCTCTGAAAGTCAGCAGAAGTCTCGTCTGACTGCTATTTGCAGCTTTGAAAAATCTCTCCCTTATTTATATTCTACTAGAAGAGTTTATTAGCTAGGGGGTGACGGATCTGTTATTCTCCTATCCTATAGGAAACCAAAGTCCAAATCTGGCAATATAACAGAAGATGCAGCTACCACTAAGTATCATGTGTTGGGGGAATGTGTTTGGCAATTGATTGTCACGTCACGTGTGGAAGGCAAAGTATATGTAAGGGTTGATGATGACATTTGCTTACACAACAAGCAGCTTTATGAATGTATGTAGTAGACTGGGTGTACGTCAGCTACCGTGTTTGTACTGCTAATATAGGATGAAACCCTGAGATCTTAACTTTTTTTCCTGCCGATGTCTCTCTTCACGCACAATTTCAGCCAAGTTATCAGGTCACACTAGTTTCTTCCCAATCAAGAAGAGACCTCAGATCTGCTCCAGTGACGCAGTTTTCTTGTGACACACAACTAGCATTTAGCTTGAATTGTTTTATTGCTTGGACAGAGGGTAGCGTGATATCGCTAGAGAGGCTGAATGACCAGACAGCTCGGCCCACCACTGAACTGCAGCTGCCCAAGATCAGTGCCTGGGAAGCAGTCTAAACAAAACGAGCCTTCCCTTCTGTTGAATGTACCTTTGCCATCCGGGCTCAAAAATGCATCTTGGTGAAGGTAGGCTGAAGAGTTTGAACGCACGAACCTGTCTGTGCTTTGGCCAAGGCATGTCTTGTGACTGGATGATGCTGGTCTCCTGCAGCTGAGCGGTGGGTTACGCAGATACATGCTGCCTTGAAGGATCTCTTCTAATCTAACCATCAGAGAAGCACTTCTTGAATAATGCAGCATTTCCTGCTGCCTAAAGCAGAACCACAGATCAGTCTCCAGAGCAGTCACTGAGCACTTAATGTACTAAGCAGCCCTCACTTCATCCCAAACAGCAGGGATTCGTTTCGCCACTAGGCCCCTGCTGCCATTAACATGCTTCATCTCAGGAGCCTTAAATTTAGGCCACGGTACAACAGAAAATAGAAACTGTGGGCAGGAGTAAATGCACCCACATGCTTGGAAGCGACTGGGATTTGGATGCTTAAGTCACTCAGTGAGATTTTTCAAAAGCTTCCATGCAATGTTCCCGCTAACTTTTTCCATCCATGTGCAGAATAAATTCTGTTATGTGCACCGAAGCATGTGCAGATGTCCATCTCCAGTAGACACCCAGACTGTGTGCGGGCTGTGAGCACTCCGTTAATCTGCTGGGCGGCATTTGAATCTCTCCTGGATGGCCGCCCAAGCACTCAGCGTCCAGGGAACACTGCTCTTATGCATATGTTCTCAATGAGAACAAACAAGACTATGTGATCATGTTACTTTTGAACTTCCTTTCCCCGCTTCCTACTGCGTGTGTTTGGTCTAGCTGAGATTATTAGCCCCCCTCTTGATGGACAGAGTCTTCTCCTTAGCAATATGTCAAAAGCTAAGAAACAAGAGCTTAAAAACAGGCAATGCAGCATGGCAAAGAACCTATGAAGTTTTTCATCAAATCTACATTGAAAATTTTGAAAACTTGATGGGAGATGGGAGGGGATCAGAACAGATGCACGTTTTCTGCAGCAGGAAAAAGCTTTTTCTTCTCCATTTAAAAAAAAAAAGTTTTAGGTTTGAAAAAAGTCCATTTCTCTGCAGCTCAAAGTGTTTTCTCTGGGGGTAGCTGCCCAGGGACTAGAGACTCACTAACACGGTGGTCACCAAGTAGATTGGGATGTACTGGCAGATCTTGGAGCCTTTGGCAGGTGATCCTGCGAGGTTTGGCTGGGAGGCTCTCAAGTGCTGGCACTTCATCTGCTCCTGCCCTCTGCCTTGGAGCTGCCCCCCAGCCCTGGAAGCCTCTTGCTTGCTGTTCAGGGCACAGGAAGAATAGAAGGGGGTGCTGATGGCATGGTGCCCATCCTTCCACTCTGTACCCCATGTCCACAGAACAGAGGGGGACAGGGATGGAGAGAGATTGCTGGCTGCTTTGGGAGTGGTGCAGGGCCAGAGGAGGGTTTATCCTGCCTTAGCCCCCTCCCCCACCACCCAGAAGCCACCTGTGGTAAGTGGTGCCCAGGTGGAGCCCACATTCTGAACCCTGGCCACAGTCCTAAACCTCTCCTGCACCCTGAGTCCCTGCCCCCAGCCTGCTAAAAGTGAATGAGGATGGGGAGGGAGGATGGAGTGAGCAGGGGCAGGGCCTCAGAGAAGGGGCGGGAAGGAGGCAGAGCAAGGGTGTTTGGGTTTGAGGTAGATCCTGGATTGCACTTAAAAATGTGATCTTATGTGGAGACCACCGCACTAACAATACTCACCCCTCTCAATTATCACAGAAGATGGTTTCAGTGAGTCAGTTTGTGGTTGTGTCTCTAAAATTGTTGCCATATGACTGACAAAAGAGAGCGCCTTTTGCATGTGAGGGTTAAATGGATGCTCTCTTTTCGGTGGGGGGAGAAGGCGGAGGGAGGAAATGGAGGAACATATTTCACTGAAGAAAGCCTGGAATGAAGCGGAGATGCACGAAGAGGTTGGGATGCTGATGGAACAGAATGCTTTCAATCCATCAAGGTGCCTTTTCAGACAGTTTGGGTGTCCAACTACCCCTTTGCAAAGGGGTGAGTTTCTGAGAGCAGGTGCTTCACTGAAGGTGTCTCCAATATGAATAACAAAAACGAAAGATCTAACAGCAATTAAGAAAATGAGCCAAATTTTACAGGAAATGTAAAAGCTAAAACAGTTAGAGATGTAAAATCCCTGTTTAAAATGTTAATCAGTTAAACAATTTATTTAACCAGTTAACTGCCCTCTGTGGCACAGGTGGGCAACAGCGTGAGCCAGGCAGGGCCCACCATGCCACAGATGAAGAGCTGCTCCAGCCCAAGTGGACTGGAGCGACCCCCTGCAGCACGTGGCATTTTGGGCCTGGCCAGGTTGCTCAGGCATCACCGTTATCTCTTTATATCCCTAAAACAATGGGGCACAGGCCCCAGATCTGAACACCAAAAATGGAGCCGGATCCATAATTCTCCACTGTTTGGTATTCCAGGTTGATTTCTAGGTAAATGCAACTTAAGCCAGCCGTACTGTCTTCCTATGCTAATCTGTTACTTCTGCACTGCCTCTGGCCGCTGCCAAAAAAAGCATTATGCCGCAGTGGAAATAGCAGGCATACCATTGCCAAGAACTCAGTGTCTGATTTTAAAATGTATTTGGTATCTGAAAAAAAATAGTGGTAACTGAATAGCGGGATAAGCCAAAGTTACATCTGTGAGGCTTGGCTGCATAGTCTCTTAATATTTTTACTTTGTCATTTTAAAGTATTTGGATATACAGTTTGCATGAAAATCAATAGCAATAGCTTGCCATGCTTCCTAAGGTGGGTTGAAAGGTGGGTTTGAAGAGCTATGTGCCTGTAAACGATGACTCTAATTTAACCAAAGACCATTCTAATACAGGAGAGTTGGGGGATGGCTGGCAAGCTTTAAACTGGTTCATGGGTTCATAGCTGTCAATGCTATCGGAGGACTTGGCTTGTATTTGTTATGCTGACATCCTGAGGGCCACATGGTCGGGTGTTCTAACCCCCACTGCACCACTCTAGAATAACTCCTTCACTGAATTCATGTGTGACCTTGGTTGAGTCCTTTAGAGCCTCAGTTCAGCAGCGTACTTAAGCACGTGCTTACGTACTTACTGAATTAGGCCTCGGGTCAGCTGTGCTATAAGTAAAACGGGTCACTGAGATGCTTCAGTGAAGTGCTTTGAGATCTTGTTTGGAAGGTGCTGTATAAGGGCGGGTGTTGGGTCACATGAGCATGGCTGGAACAAAGAGTCTATAATGTAAGGATGAGCAGCTGTTTAATGTCTTTGCTTTTTTCTTCCTTTTGATTTCTTTCTGCTTCCTTCCTCGCCTTCGTTTCTGCTTAACCCAGAAAAACTGATTGAGGGTCTCAAGTCTCCTGAGACTGCGCTTCTGCTCCCCGATATCCTGCCTCTCGCTGACCCCTTCGGTTGCACCTCTGATGCGGTGAATGGTAAAATAATGCACTGTGATTTCTGTGGCATGTTCTGTTCCTGCATGTGAGCACAATGATGGTGCATGTGTGTGTTGCTGGGCTAGGAGAGGCGAAAGGCAGGCCAGCAGCGATCACAGGACACACCTTGCTTAGAGTGTGCACAAAGGGCCGGATTTGCCTTTCAAGGCTCCGTGCCCTTTGAGTCCAGTGGGAGTTTCAGCTAAGGGCAGAACCTGCTTTTAAACTCTTGATTTTACCTTACTGTCATGGGTAATGTGGCGGCAGCATGGTGTCTGGGGAGAGGTTCTCGGAGCCTGGTGTATAGGGAGTGTGGGGTGCAGGGCTGGCCTTGCCACGAGGTGAACTGAGGCAGCCGCCTCCGGTGCCAGACTGTGGGGAGGCGCCACTAGGATCCAAAGTGTTGAAAATTGTCTGCTGCTGGTGCAGCGAGGAGTCATGGAGGAGTCATTTGAGCTGCCCGCCTCCAGTGCCAAAATATTGTGGGCTGACCCTGGTGGGTGAGGGCAATGGATGTAGGGTCTCTCTAGAGGATGGGCAGTTAGAGAACTAGCCATGGATTGGGCAGATCTGCGTTCAAGTCCCAGCCTGCCACAGAGTTCTCTGTGACCTAGGGCAAGTCACTTTGCCTCTCTGGGTCTCAGTACCCACTCTGTGATATGGGGATAATAGCACTACCCGGCTTCTAGGGGAGAGGGAGGATAAATGCATTGAGAGGCACTTGGACACTTAAGGTGTGTCTACACAGCAGGGCTAAACTCAAAATAAGCTACACAACTTGGGCTACATCAATTGCGTAGCTTATTTTGAAATAGCTTATTTCAAAATTGGGAGCATCTACACAGCATTTATTTCAAAACCGAGCACTCTTCCTCCGACTTCCCTTACTCCACATACAATGAGGGTTACAGGAGTCGGGGTAAGAAGTCCTCCAGCTTGACAGTATTTCGACATTATTTCGAAATAACTGCCTGCTGTGTAGATGCAGACTAAGTTATTTCAAAATAAGGGTAAATCTACACAGCAATTGGCCCCATTACCAATGAGAGATGGAATTTTAATGGATGATTTCTTGGCAAAAACTTGAGACTAATAACTGTCAGGCTCTGGGTTAGTCACGAGTGGTCTATTTCAGTGACAGTGGCCTATGTATTAGAGATACGTAAAGACTCAAACAGTTGCCTTCTCGGCTTCTCCTGTGCCTCCGTGGTAAACTAACGTCTCGCTTCTCTCTGCTCTGCTCTCGTGTGTGTTCGGAAAGGAAAAGATGACATAGCTGTTGAGAGTCTCATACCTGGCCTGGAGGCTTTGCTGCCCCAGCATCTGGCCTCCCAGACCGACTCAGTTGCTTCCAACAGAACAGGTTGGTGAGATGGGCGTTAGCGTGTGTGGCCTGTAGGACCCCTTTCTAGCAAATAGGAAGACCTGATCCACTTGACTAAATGGTTCTCACTCTCCTTCCTCTACCCACGCCTCTTGTTTAAATCGGTCGTGTGTTTTATGAAGCTAACTAGAAAACAGTGGTTCCCAACCTGTGGTCCGTGGACCCCTGGTGGTCCCCAGCGGTACTACCTGGGTATGCTTTTTCTTTTCTCCCCCAGGGATGGGGGGGGCTATGAAATATTAATAGATTGAGAAGGGGGTAGTATGCTTGAAAAGGTTGGGAACCACTGAACTAGAAGACTTACCTGGTGTGTTCCTCAGGTCCTTAACTCCTATACGTTTTAAAGGGATAGCTGTCTGTAACTTTAAAAACCATGAGTATCCTGTGGCACCTTAGAGACTAACACAAATAAATAGGCTCACGAGCTTTCAGATGATGGAAGTGGGTTTTGCCTCCTGAGCCGATATATTTGTTAGTCTCTAAGATGCCACGTGACTGCTTTTTTCAGATAAGTTTTGTTTTTCTTTGTTTAAATCATTGTGCTGGGGTAGGGCTGGGGCGGAGGGGTTCAGGATGCAAGCTGCCCCAGGGAGAGAGGACAACCCCAGCCCTCTTTCACCTCAGCAGCTTGGGGTCAGGTGAGAAGCACCAGTCCATGACTGCTGCGGTGAGCACAGCTGGGGGAGGGGTGCCTGTCTCTCTGCAATACACAGTAGAATAGCTCTGGCCCCCTCCTTGCCCCATTGTCATTCTACAGTATAACTGTCCCTCCTACCAAATCCCTCCCTTTCCATTTTATGAGAAACAATCCCAGTTGAGGCACATCCCATTGTCCTGGCATGACCGAACCCTGCCCTTGTTTTAATTTAGAAGAGGAAGCTGCCTAGCTCTTCCCAGTTGGGAGGCATTCTTGAGCAGACAGATGCATGCACATTTCTAAAATCTATGGCCCGTTCCTTGCAGTCCAGTGTTAGCATGCTGGAGGAGGAGTGTGGGGAAGCCTTTGGATATTCATCCAGCGCTCTGTCTGCATTGCAGAGCAGTTGTCACATGCTTCTTGAAAATGATACAATTTTGTTGTTGTTCCTGTGCATAGGGACAGAGAGGCCCCTAGATCTGTAGGGCCCGGCAGCATGCTCAGAATACGCTGCAGGCAGGGACATGAGCTTTGTGTGTGGGCGTCCTCCAGAGTCGCTAGCAGTTGGCCGTGGGGAGCCAGGCTAGTTGAGGGCAAGCCCACCTAGGACCCTGTCTGCTGGCAGGCTAACGAGATCCAAGCTGCATGAGCCTACGCATGTAGCAGCCACTTGCACCCAATTGCTGAGTAGACAGACCATGTCTTGACATGGCTTAACCCACTAAGGTCTCTCACCTTAAAAACAAAGGCCCCCAGAATTTGCCCCCCTTGGAATCATGTGTCTCTAGTTTCACACTTTCTAGTGATGTGTTGCTAATATGAATATGACATTTCCCTGGTAACGTCCAGTTTCCGTGAATGCCAGTCTTCAGTGTCACCTGCATTGCTCATGTGTTCTGTACTTGGCAATTCATCCCTCTTCCTTACCCCATAAGCCCTGACAATTACTCCAATGGGTGGATCCTTTCCCAGAGCCCCACTGACTTCAACGTGGCATTTTGGTACTTTGTGGGGTAGGCCCCAGCTGACAATCACAATGTGCCACGGTAGATCAGTAGTGTTAGGACAACTGAAACATTACTTTTAATAGAAATGAATGAGATCTAGTCTGCCAAGCCTCTATTCGCAAGGTTTAACTTAGCTACTTATTTATCTTGCAAAGACTGTCAGCTGCATCTAAAATATCATGTTTACAGTTCCTAACGTCCCTGAAACATGGATTCAAATTCCCTTACAAGCAGTTCGCTCCTTAGTAAAGTTAAAATTAAACCTACCCTGAGTACCTCTTGCTATTCCCTTGGCTACTGTCTAGTTCATCCCACTATGCAAGATTCTGACTTGACGGTGCTCTCACGGCTCCAGGAGGGCTGCTCTCTGGGGGTGAATCTGTTTTGCTTCATGTGGGTTGTTAAAACATATTGGGATCCTTCAAAGCTCTCTGACAAGGGGGAAGTTTCCCCATCAGACTGATGTTAGCTGTGGCTCAGTGCAGACTGCTCTTGCGGTACTAACTGGGTGGTAAGAGTGGGACAGGATTCACCTAACAGTCTTGTATGTGCTGTTTAATGCTGTCGTTGCTGTGGCCTGGCGGCTGTTAATCTGGATTCAGACTCTCTCACTGGGGAAGATTCTCTACTTGACTGCTCTCTACTTTCCAACCCCGCTGCTGATCTCTTGGATGAATTTGCTCCTCTAGCTATTTCTGCTCCGGCTCACAAAGGTAACCTGCTGTTGGGTGTAGTTTGTTATCCTGGGACCTGATGATCTAACTTGTTGTAAGAACAAATCCTCAGAAGGAGTAAATAGAAATAAACGGGGCAATGCTGATTTACACCAACTGATGATCTGGCCTATAATCTTTATCCCGTTGCCTTCTTTCCTGAGTTGGTGACACTTGTAACATATAATGTGGCCTTTAATATGGGGTGGGAGGGCATCAAATTGCCAACAAAAAATATGAAAACAGTTTTCAGAATGATTCTGCAAATGAAGCACATGCTGCATGTTCTGTGTGTACATGTATGTAACAGTATTTGCCTTAATGTGCCAATAGACATGGGTTTTTTTCAGGCCAGAAAGGACTGCTGTATTACAATCATCTTCTCTGACCGTGTGTGCTTTTAAACCCTTGTTCCCCTCTTGAAGAGCTAGAGTTGGATTGTCTGTAGTGTAAATCCCCTGGGGCTTGGTATTGCCAGATTTGGGAACCATACTCTGTGCTCTGTGCTGAAGAGATCACTGTAACATCTGTGTCTTCTCTAAGCACTATTAGAAAAATGCCAAGTAATGAGTAATATGCAAATAAAATGTGGAGCATATCTTGGATGATAAATCTCTCTACTGGGAATTTTCCTTCATTTCTTGCATTGAAAAGACAAGAAAGCAAACCTGGATTAGACCTCTGGATGTTTGTTCACACTGAGTTTTGTTTAGCTCAGCTGATATGGTAACAGCAGATGTTCAGTCTTTAGCAGAAGTGCAGCAGATATTGTCTGTAATCAATTTTTACCATCAGTGGCATTTGAAAATGAGATTGCATTTTTCATAGAGCTTTTGGTTTAAACCAGCCAGTCTCATAATTATTCATTGCAACAAGAAATTTCCATGAGTAAATGGCTCGAAATGTATGTTCAGCGGCGGCTGTTCTGTGTGTGGAAATCAACAAAAAGAAAGCTCAAAATATTGGGCTTCAGTAAGAAATGAGAGAATGAATTAACCTAATTCTGCTTCCTTCCCCACAGAA